TTTCTTTCTAAAACTGTGTGGGCGCTCAACGATTGTAGATCTAATCAATTATAGATGTGATTTCCATAGTTGATTCTTAATTTAAGTTATTTGCATTTATATGAAAGAAAAACAAAGCTTTCCATTAAACACACAATCGGAACTTAACTACGCAATCTGACTTTATTTTTTGCATTTAAATTCGATATTTACATGGATATTAAATCTTTTCACGTATACTAAACCGAAATATACGACGAAAGATAGAAAATAGCATATATATATATATATGTATCAATAATAAAAGACAATTCTGAGCTTAATTCAGTTAACATTCTAGGCAACATCGGAAAAAGACGCCGTTACAAGTCAACATAGTGAATTAGAAATGAACAAAGCGAAGAATATGGCTTATGAGTTCTTCTTTTTCTCTCTCTCTCTCTATGTTTCTCGGTCTTTCATGTTTGTTAGTGCGTAATTAATGTAAAATTCAATCAATGTAACAAGAAATAGTTGTCGGTCTTCTTATGCCAACGACGAAAAACAAACGATCCCAGAAATAATGTTACGATGAGAAAAAAGATTTTTTTTCTGCCGTCGTTATGCCCCATTTTTTTTTGGTTATTTTCGACTTGGTTTCTTTATACTAATAAACAAAGAAGATATATTGAACACGTATATTGTTCAAGAGCATAAGGATCGTCTATTCTTTGCAAAAATTGAATGACGTAACTATTCTTGTTCTGAGTCAAGAAAGGTCTTTACTTGACTATCTATATTCATACTGGTCTAAATTTAGTATACATCTCGAGAAATCACCCGATGCTTTATTATTCCAGCAAACGTGGCAAGCTTATAAAATAATAATGTCTTCAGATACGAGTTGGTGCAAAAGTATGGGTTTTAATAAGCGCAGTATCTTCCCTAATAGACTTAAAAAAAGAGCTCAACATTCTTTTGCCGAATGGCAGATATTTGGAAATATTCAGCAAATGCAGGAAAACTATTATTAAATAAATGCTAGTTTTATAAATCTGTTTGTTGATAGATATGTCATTTGTCAGTTCCTCTCAAGTTAAATTTAAACATACATCTATACATAAGAAATATCGGATATCCATTCCATCTAAACATTTGTTCTCATAAATAAACGTTTCGTGTGCGTTCTTTCTTTTTGTGGTATATCGAGTTCAATTGAGGTCATGTTTTTATCTCTATTCTTTTTATTATTTTGTTATTTTCTTCCTTCTTGGGAGGTATGATATCCATTTCTGGAGTGAATCAGCTATTTAATTATAATGCGTAATTATTAAATACGATTCTATTCTTCATTTTCCTTTTTCATCTGTCTTACTTTTTTTTTTTATAATTGTGAACTCAATCAAGGCACAAAATAAAACGATTATTATGTTAAAAAATAAAAAAAAAACGATCGGAGAAGAAAAACGAGTACTAAATTTTTTATGTTACTCTTATCATATGCAAAATTATTTATCTATTTACAAATATAAAGTTGTTACTAAGAATAAAGCAAGACTATTATAGCAATATTTTACCTTTCATCTAGTCATCATATTCTAATGCAGTTAAAAACAGTAATTATTATTACTATTCGAGACAGGAAGTTCCATTATGATAAGAAATACACGAAATAGACTAGTTTCTTTTTCAAGAAATTGAGATAGAAGCAGAACTATTAAATTAAAAAAAAGCATTTTACTATTGTCATCAAGTGACATACGATAATAAAAGGAATAGAAACACTTTTTTCACCTGATTATGTCCTATATATAAACAAAACAACTAAGCAGTAAAATTATTCTTTCGTTTTGTTTAATTATATCACAAACTATTAAAAAAAAAAGAAAAAGAAAAAGAAAAAAAGGGATAATATATGCTCTGAATAGATTACTTGTGCACTTCTCTAACAAATGATCTATAAAAAAAAAAATGAACTTTTCGAATTTTTTTTGAGAATATTTCTACTATCTATTCATCCATTGAAATAATTTTTTTTATCAAAAAAGAATTTATTTTTGAATTCTCTACAAAATCATCTATTGTAATTTGTCTAAATTTTTAAAACAAGTCTATGTTATATGAGGTAAACGATAAATTTTCAAAAACAACTTTTTCTTTAATTATTCCTTATCACATATTTAAATGCATCAAATGTTCAAATCTAACTTATTCGAAAGTCAGTTGTCTATAGTGATACATCATGTACAATGTTTTGTAGACGACTGTTGTGCTATTTGTTTAATCTATCGTTTATTCATCGAGATCATTGACTTCTCAATTGCCCTGATGTCAACTCATCCGATTAGAATATATGAAATGAACTAGTATATGTCATCAATTGATCTAAATTGAATTAAGAATAGCATAAATTTACGAGTCAAAATATATAGTCAATCAAAAAGAGAAAATAATTATTAATGGACGAAAAAATTGTTCAATTATTTTAGAAATCTTGAGAGGATCATTCTTTTTATATCATCTATTATTTATTATAAAAATCAATTTATTCTACTAAATTTGTTAATAATATTCAATGAATTAATTGTGCTTCTCTTGTTGACTAACGTTTTTGCTTTTTTTTTTTATCATCCATCAATGATATTCAATCTATATTTTTTTTGACATCGGATAAAGTATGATCATTTTTCTAATATGAACTTAGATTTTTACTATTCATAGTGATCATATAATACAAGATGATTAAAAACTGATTTCTTTTTTTTTTACAACATCTCATCGTTTCGTAAATTGTTCTTATTGATCATTGTCACATGTACTATTCAAATTACATACAATTATAGGCGAGAGTAAGCGAAGAAGAAAGAAGAAGAATCGAAAGACAACGTTGACACACACACACGCTAAGATATATACATCTATCTACTCTCAATATTGCCACAATCCGTCGCTCTTCCTTAATAGGTTACGTAAACGATGACACACACATACACACTTGCACTACCTGTCGTCCTCATGTCTATTGACATAAAACAATGCGCAAGAAATTATGTAAAATTGGTCGTCGTTATCGTCGTCTTCGGACGCATAAGTACATTGGTTAGTCTGGCCACGTTTGCCGAAACTAATCATACTGACGAAAAAAGAAAAAAAAAGAAGAAAAGAAGCGGATGTTTGTCCACAAAATGCCAGAAATCAGGTTCGTTATACTGTACGTATGATGCAATGTATGTATGTATACTCTTCATTTTTTTTTTCAATTGTAGTACATACAAGCACTTTGAAGGATGTAGCAAATTTTTAATCTATTGATCCTTCAAAACGAATATCTGCTTTTCTTTTTATTCATGAATTCATTTACTATAGAAAAACAAATTCCGTAAGTTGATCATTATTAATTTCATTCTACTATGGTTATTGTTTTTTTTTTTTTAAACTAAGATCTAATTCAATTGAAGCAAATAAAGTACTACATATATGTAGTCAATGTACACGTACATTTAAAGATATAAATAATTTTCGTGAACATTTATTTCAAGAACATGGTGAACTTGGTGTTAATGTTCGACAATGTCATCTTTGTTCATATGCAACATTACTTAAATCAAAATATGATTGTCATATAGTAAAAATATAGAAAAGAAAAAGAAAAAAATTATCATCATAGATTTTATTTCTAGAGATGTCATTTAAATAATCGAGTAATTCGCTGTCAAAAATGTAATTATTCAACAATTAATATTAGGTATAAAATATTTGACTAACATTAGAAGAAAATATTTATAATTTAAGTTATAAAGAAAAAAAACAAAATTTGATAAAAGATCAATATAAATGTGTTGTTTTCTAAATCGAACTTATTTTCTCTTAAAAGCTTTCTATAATCTTTAATTGAATTTTTATATTCTTTTATCTTTTCTGTTTAATATCTTCTTGATTATCATAGATTCTATTTTTATCAAACAATTATAAATGAATTATTGTCTAAACGATATTAAATCAAATAGAAAATTTATTACTTGTTATATGATATATCAATTAAAACAAATTGAAAATTGATCATGACTATATACTCAGATTTCTTTTTCAATTACATAGACAAGAATTAATTAACCAAAAATTTTGAGTACACTATTTTTTTTTAAATTTTTTATTTAATAAAAAAAAGGTAACTTCATTAGATTCTATTTGAAAGTACTTTATAGAAAAGTTCTATTATGCTAAAGGTTTGTGTATATTTATTTAATTAAATTTTATTTGTAGACATATGTCAAAACATGAACGTCAACATAATGTATCAAATGTAGTGAATACAACAATATCAAATGAAAATCCTATACGAGAAGTTAAACGAGCAAGATTTGAAAATATAAATCCATCACCAAATACAAATTGGTCAACAACACTTTATATTAATACTCAAATAAAAGATGAACATATAAAACCAAATGATGAACAACAAACTGGATTTTCTTCATGTTTTTTAACTGATCAACTTTTAATGCCTGATAATAAAAAGTCTCAAGAAAAAATAGAGTAAATATTTTATTTCATATATGAAATATTGTTTTTTTTTTTTGTTGGTTTGTTATTAGTGATACACAAAATTTACGTTCATTACAATCATTTCGTTCCAATAGTAGTCATTCAACAGAAGAATTAAATTGTATACCATGTACACATCATAATAGTCTTATTGCATTACGTTCAAATGTTTGGACATTACTTCGAATGTTACTTCCACAACTTTCATTTTATTATCCATCTATGTCAATGATTGATGACGAAACAGATCATTGTATTGATCGACTTGTTGCTAATTTAATACAAATACCATCCTACTATGGAACATATCCATCTGTATAAAATATTATTTCTTGTATAATTGTTTTTTGATCTTTTTCGTTTTTCTTTTTTTTTTTTGAATATAACAAATATATTATCTCTATTGGGTTATGCTTCGCATTTATAGGGGAAGCTTATGTATAAATATTGAAGATTTGTTCTTGTTCTTTTTTTTTTTTTTTTTAATTTTTATGCATTTATTTTTGATTAAGAATAAGTATAAGTGTAAGTATAAGTAAGAGAATTAGAACAAAACAAAAAGTAATACAAATTAATTTAATCCATAAACTAATTTTAGATTGTTTTAATTTTTTAACTAAACGAAATTCATCGACACTTTGTGCAATATAATCAGATCCAGTACTTGTATTTAACCAAATATTATCAGCTAAATCATTTTGTTCTTGAATAGAAAGATATAATGCCATAGTCATTTCACTAAACAAGAAGAAAAACGAAGTTTCTAATGGAAAAAAAAATTATAACAAACTGTTAGGGGAAAGATGTATATATACATATATTAAGAAATATAGTATTCGAAACGAATACCATACAGACACTTATTCTGTACTTTCATTTTTTGTTTTCAGCTGGAAGATAGCTTTTTCTGTGAACACAATGATATACAAAGTATTAACATGCGGTGCAAAAGTCTTTGCACAAATCTTCGACTCTATTAGACCATATTGCCAACTTCTAAACCAATCAATTTTTTTTTTGTTGGAAAGAGCAATGTCTGAACTACAAATTTTGTACCAGACATATTTTTCCAAAATGAATCTCAGAAGGAGAGAAAGTCAAAAGACAAATACCTCTAAAAAAGCTTTTGCAACGTTTTTACAAGTTGAACAGTTTTTATTTCTCAATTATTTTGAGCTACATAGACCGGATTCTAACAAAAAATACGTCATATTATACCGCATCAAAAGGACTATTTATATCAGCTTTGGTAAAATTTTTTAGAACAATTCTCGACTCTTTAATCAAAAACATTTGAAAATTGAAATTTTTGTAAAAGGGAGTCTTTTGCAAGAACTATCGGTTTGGAAGCACATCGGCCACAACTCCTAACAATCATGCATGAACTCAATTCTTTGTGCGTTATTTGTTCGAAATACATCAAATTATACAAACTAAGCAGAAAAAAACAATTCAAAAAGTATTTTTTATTGATGGAAAACGGTCAGGTAGCTGGAACGACCAAACTGCCCAGTTTCTTCCAGAAAAACTTATATTTTGGTATAAAATCTAAGAGTAAATTTAGCTTCCAATATACCATTGGAAAGAGCACTCTTTTTGCTACAAAAATCATCATTAAACGTATTTTTCCGTTTCTCTTCTGATATAAAAAAAATAACAAAAAAGAGAAAATGATATTGCGCGATACCGAAGTTGCAAGAACTTTTTTGGAGGTATTTGGTTTTTGCCTTTTCCTCCTTCTGAGATTCATTTTGGAAAAATATGTCTGGTACAAAATTTGTAGTTCAGACATTGCTCTTTCCAACAAAAAAAAATTTGATTGGTTTAGAAGTTGCCAATATGGTCTAATAGGGTCGAACATTTGTGCAAAGACTTTTGCATCGCATGTTATTTGCAAGAAGGTGATAGAATATGTCATTAGAAAAACTCTGAAAATTATCGAATCATGGAAAGCATGGATAAAATTTTTATATTCAATGAAACTTTACAAGAAACCGTAATTCAAGAAAGATGATCCAATAGAAAACTCAATAAACTCAAATCATTCAATATTTAGATAGAAACTAATTGTTTTTATAAGTTATATTAGTGTTGAGGCTATCCAAGACAGACTGTTTTTTTTTTTTTTTACAAAAAATAAAACCTTATAAAAAGATTATATAAGTACATGTAAAGAAATAAGATGAAGTTTCGAATTAATTGAGAACATTACTTCATTTGTCGAACACGTTCTTTCAATACTCGTATACTTTCTAAACGTGCTTGAAGATCAGCTATTTGTATTTCTTGTTTTGTTAAATCTTGTTGTTGTTGTTGTTTATCTTCTAAAATTTGTAATTGTATTTGTTCTTGTGATACAATTGGTGCTATATTTAAATTTTCATCATAGGTACTAACGAAATTTTTCATTTTATCAGTTGTTGTTCGTGATATTTGTTCATAGGATTGTTTAATTGTTTTTGAATTTTGTATGGATTGTTGAAGATCATTTTGATAATCAATTGAATTTAAATTATGTTTTATTATAATACGTTGAAAAGATAATTTTAAACTAGTTAATTGATTTTCTGCTATACGTATATGAGCTGGTATATAATTATTTGATTCTTGTTCTTGAAATCTATTTCGTTGATATTCATTTAATATTGGTTGAATAAATTTTTCAAGTGTTTGAATACGTTGATGAATTGTATATGATAAATTATATATAGTATCATCAAGATTTTTTAATTGATCAAAATAATTTCGTTGTTTATTTTCAGAACGTTCATATTTATAAAGATCATAGATATCACGAAAATTTAGTGTATTTGTTGATAACTTATCTATCAATGACCATGTATCATATACTTCAGGTAGAAATTCTTTACATTCCATTTCAATGCGTGTATCAGATGATACAATGGGATTCGTTGTTATTGTTGTTAGTGATTGTTCATCATCGGTAAGAATATCTGCTGATGGAAAACAATAATTAATAAGATTATTAAACATATTAATATATTAATTAAATAATGAAAAAATGTAGAATAGTTTTGAATATTGTTCATATTGTTTATTGAGATGATTAAACATAATTTTTAAAAAAATTTCAGCATTTAGATAGATATTTAATTTATTAAAGAAAAAATAATAAGAAATCAAATATTTAAAGAGAATTAATCGCCAATTGGCAAAATATAAAATTAAACCATTATTTTGTTTATTTTTTCAGGAAATCTTTATTTATTTTAAAATAAAAAGTTATTTAAGATATATAATATATTAAACAGAACGGAAGAAGATTATATAATGAGTAATTTTTATTAAAATTAGAAATTAATGGGCGCGTTCAATTGTAAAATAGAAATGTAAGAGTAAAAGATTATATACACTTATTATTGAATTCAATTATTGGACGACTTGTCTGATATAAGGACTTCTTAGTCAAAAGAGAATGACTCTTCAACTTCGAATAATTCACTTCATTAATTAAGAATAACTGTTCTTATACAGATGAGAAGAAATAAAAATTTCAACAATTTTTCAATTATTTTTAAAAAAACATTTCTGATCATTCTGGAGAATGAACGTAAGGTTTGCCATGAAAGGAAGAAACTACTCGAGAATATTTACTCTTACACTAATTTTGATTAAACACCTACTTATCTATGCTAGAATTCAAGTGTATTTATATCAATGTTAATTAACAAGGGAACATTCCCAAGTATCTATTCACCTTTAAGTCGGAACTTAGTACATCTTGTAAAGCTTAGTGAGTTATATCTACCATAAAAAAAGGTTCGTGTCCCTGGCCTGTTTCTCAGAAGATCGAAAGTTTCATCGAAATCGGAGGACATTTGTTTACAACGTAATTGAAACTTCATGAAAATATCCACCTATAAAACTAAGACCTTTCGATCTCCTTAGTGACCAGCCAGAGGCACGAACTTCTTTTACGGTAGACATAACTTACTAAGCTCTACAAGATGTACTAAGTCCCGACTCGAAAATGAATAGACACTTGAGAATGTTCCATGGTCAGTTCACACACTAACATACAATGTGTCGTATTCTAGTTGTGCCGTGATCTATTCATTAACTATTCGTCATCTTGTCTTGCACATACAGTGATATATAACCAAAGCGATGAAACAAACTGAAATTATGTATTTTTCGTAGATCTTTGTTTTTCAGGCTATGTCTTGATTAACCTTTAGACGAAAACATATTGACAGATCGATCAATGATCGAGATTGAATCATCTGACAATGGTCTCGTCGGCGTCCAATCGACTCAAGACGGCCGGATCGTCTTAGACTTCATGAATCTGTACTAATAATTCAAATTAAATTGGAAAATAGATGTTGTGACGAGCATATCATACCGCACTTTTACGTGCCGTATATGATATCAAAAGATACAACAAAAGCAATATATGTTTTTATTGGTTTTATGCATACTGTTTGTGATCTTATTGTGGAACAAAAATTGAAAACGAAAAGACTGTTGACTTATTTTTGGACCAATACGCACATCCATTTTTCTAAATATTTTGAAAAAAATTGATATACCTTCATGTTTTGTATACAGATTCTTTATACCATTTGATACGTCTTTATGAGAACTATCGATTGGTATACAATACAAAGTGGATTCATGCATTTCAGTCGAAAAAAAATTCTTATACTATCATTTAAACATATAACGATCTTCAACTTAGAGCTGTTTCAACTATTTCAAAAAAAGAAACATATCCTGTCAAGTTTTCTTCGTTGGTTTCTAAGCATTATTTAGCAGGACCTACCCATGCCCGTTAATACTACCAGATATTCATGGAATGTTCCATAGGAAACTGAAATAGCTTAATTTCACATGTAGCTCGACTGAACATATAAGCATGCGATCAGAGTATTTTTCATGAAAATACTCTATAGCCTAATTTTTCTGAGGACATAAAACATGGATTAGTCTTAGTTAGTTCAGTCGCTTGATATACAAAAAGAATGCGTTAAAAGATTTGCTTTTATTAGTCTATTTGATAAGCTTATTTTATCCGTTATGACTGTAAGAATAGCTGATCTTAGATAATGAATTGTATAGGTTATTAAACGATCTATCGACAGCGTTCATTAGAAATGTATTGATGCGAGTTGATAGATTTTTCGTAGTAATCAATTGTATCACGTCTGCGTTTAGAGAAAATCGTTTTGTGATTAATTGTCAAAACGATTATTCGATTTTTTTTAATGAAATATCAATTTTTTCTATGATCGATAGACACCAAGAAATATATTCACATTCAGAATCAAGGGATATTCATTCGTATCTTTGATTATGACCAGAGAAAAAAGAAATCGAAGAATTTTTTTCCATTCATAATGGAAAGATGAAAAAATAATTGAAGAATGCTTTTGTAATTTTCACATTCTTTTGTATTTCTGTAAAAGCAATGTGTAGAAAGATGAAATTCCTAATCAAATAAATTTTACAGAAAGCAAAATTTATTTAACACCTTTTATAAATTTTTACTATAATTTTTTTAATATATTTTCAAAAAGCTTTATGAAGTATAAAACATTTTTCATCTATTTCTTTTCTAAGTACTCTCAACATCTCGTTCAAATAAAAAGATAGTTCATAAGAGAAAATAATAATTTGAAAAAGAAAAAGCTTTTCTACTTTTCTTTTTTTTTTTTTATTTCAAAAATCATTTCAGCAGAAAAAATAGAAAGTACCGCATTGTGTAACAAAGAATCAACTAGTAGAACTACAACAATAAGGGATATAATCAAAACATATGTATTCAATAAAGTAAGAATAAATATTAAATAACTTCATTAAAAGCAAAACTTCTCTTTCTTTTTCTCATAGAGAAATAATATTCATTCTTATTTTTCTTCAAAATTTTATTATTACATCTTTATCAAAATCTGAAGGTACTTTAGTAAGTGACTATGGCCGTATTTCAAATATACCTAATTATCATATTCATGTTACCAATACTGTTAAACTTGCTGATTGTATTCGTCAATGTGTTGATTTTGCAAAAAACTATAAAGAATATATAGATGAAGATTGTTTTGCATATAATTATGATATCGATAAGTATACATGTGAACTTATACATTCAACTGCACCAATGAACTATATAGTTAGTTTTCAAACACGATGGAAAACTGGTTTCAAATATTGACAATAGTCATCTTTTATGTTATTCGTGTAATCAAAAAAGACTTTATTTTCCTAAATAAAGACTACAGATTTCTTTTTTTTTTTAAAGAAACTAATACGGAATGTTGGAAAAAGGAAAGGTTTCAACGTTAGATGCGAAGTAATCTAATCAAAAAGAAGTTTTTTATTTATTTTTTTGTTTTATTCCATGATGTTGTTTGATTAAGAAGTAGTACCACTTGCACCTCCTTCTTCATAATCTAATTTAAGTTTAGCTAATAATTTATCACATGTCTTTTTAGCATCACCAAGTAACATAGAAGTATTATGTTTAAAGAATATAGGATTATCAACAGCTAGAAGAAAAAAAAAAGACATGAAAAAGAAATTTATTATTTGATATTTAATTTACCAGCATAACCAACACCAAGTGATCGTTTCATGACAATAACCTATCAATCATCCATAACAATTTATAATTCTATCAACAACAAAAAAAAAAGAAACTTACTTGTTTAGCAAGCCAAACACGAAGTACAGGCATACCAGCAATTATACTATTTGGATCTTCTTCAGCAGCTGAATTAACTGTATCATTTGCACCAATAACAAGAACAAGATCAGTATTTGGAAATTCATGATTAATTTCTTCCATTTCATGAACTATATCATAGCTCACACCAGCTTCAGCTAATAAAACATTTAATTGACCAGGCATACGACCAGCTACAGGATGTATAGCAAATCGTACTGTTTTACCACGTTTTCGTAACATCTCAACCATTTCAGCAATTGGATATTGAGCCTAACAAAGAAAAAAAAACCAAAACCTTTCATTATTCTTACCAGTCTATATATATATAAAACAATTACTTTAGCAACACATAAACCATAACCTGGTGTAATAATAATTGATGATGCTTCTTTAATAAGATCAATTGTGTGATCAACATTTATTTCTGTATGTGTACCAGTTATTTGCATTGCTTGTCCAGTACCAGTTGAATCAGTACTACATAAAAAAAACAACATATATAAAGAATATATTGTAATTGGATATAAATTATTTACCCATAACCACCAAGAATAACATTAGGTAATGAACGATTCATTGCTTTACACATAATATATGATAAAATTGCACCACTACTACCAATAAGAGCACCAACAATTGTCATTAATGAATTATTCAACATAAAACCTCTATAAACAATGATCAATATATATTTTAAAAAACTCTGTTAGTGCAATCCTTGCACGATTAAAATGTGAAACACGATGCACGATGCTATTTTTATTCTCGACTCATCTTTTTCAACATCCTTCTATTGAATCCTCCAGACCTACAATAAGGCAGTACTTCATATACGATCTATGATTGTATACAATATTTTATCCAGATTCTCTCTTCCGAAAGGGCGAATAGGTATTTTTGAGATTATCGATAGGTTGTGCATCATATAATAACTACAAACTTTGGAAGGATCAACTCGATTTTCTGAGAGGTCGTGGTGTAAATTCTTATCCCAATACTTCAACACAGTTCATTTCGATGGTGTTTCACAAAAAAGAACATTTATCGACGTACTCAGCACATAGTGCCCATCCTGAATATGAATTAAGTACAGTAATAACAACAGGCATATCAGCACCACCAATAGCTACAGTTAATGTTAAACCCATTGTCATTGATAAAGCTGATGTCACACCTAACATTGAAATACCAACAATTGGATCTGCACTCATCATATAATAAGCTAAAGCACTAACATTAGCAAGTGCTAAACCTGCATTTAATGTATGACGTGCTGGTAATAAAATTGGTGCACCACTCATAAGACCTTGTAATTTAGCATATGCAATTATTGAACCTGAAAATGTTATACCACCAATAAATGTACCCAAAAATAATGCTGTTTTTATAACTGCTGCTGCTGGATCAAGTGCAAAATGTTCACATTCAGTAATATAATGAGATATACAAGTAAGTACTGCAGCCATACCAACAAGTGAATGAAAAGCAGCTACTAATTGAGGAAGATCAGTTATTGCAATTCGACGAGCAACAAGTGCACCAAATGTAGTACCAGTAGCCATTGTTGTACCAATTTGTGTTATTAATGGCATATCCAAATGAATTGCACCAAGTGTTGCAGCCAAACCTATTCACACATTAATTGATTATGAAATACTTCGTTGCTTTTTAATTTTATTTACCTAATGAAACACCAATCATACCAAGTGAATTACCAAGACGAGCTGTGGTTTGATGACTTAATCCACCAAGAGCACCAACACAACAAAGTGATGCTGCTAAATATGCTAAATGATTTATATCATGATATCCTTGTTGACTAGCCCAAGCATAAACTGCAACTGAACTAGCACCAGGTATTAAATATAAATAATTGTACTCCGGTGGATCAGCTAATTATAAAGAAAAACACAGAAATGTAATATAGAATTACTTATTATTTTATATATGGTATACTTGGTCGTTTAAACATATTTAACATTCTTTGTGTAATAACAAATCCACCACCAATGTTAATACTCGATATGAATGCAGCAGCAGTTGCTAAACCTAAATAAAAAAAGACAATTTCTCAAACAATATTCCATTCAATAGTCATTATATATTCTTGGAAGCTTGAAAATTTTTTGTGCATATACTATCGTTAAGGGTGTAAATCAAAGACACAATCTTGTTTCAATTGCTTAGATACTAAGGGAATTATAATGGATGAGACTTATTTAAAAGATGAATTCATTTGATCGAGTATCAGCATCTTTGGATATTTCTGAATCCTCCTGCAGTACTGTCCAATTGTAGTAATAGCTTTTCTAAGAGCTTAGCTTGTTTCACTGAACTACTACTGTTTTCTCCACATTAACAGTCACGGTACATTGAGCACAATACTAGATTCACACATGATATAGGTACCATGTATCATAATTCTCTTTGCACCTATGCAATTGAAGTAGAACTGTGTTCTAGCCTATACTTTTGACGAAATATGTACATACAAATCTCAGCCGTCCACCACTCACAGTAACTGATGAGAAAAGAGCAGTTCGTGCTCATGACTCCCTGACGCCGAGCTATGATCGTTTTACTAAATATCGATCTGAAGCTTTACTCATACCTAGATCTGATGACTTGGAGAAAATCCTGACAGTTTAGGTCAACAATAATGTTCCTTTATCGAAATATTGAATTTTCAATAAAACTCGATTTTTGCTGCAAACGACTATTTGTTGGAAACTTCATATCTTAACAAAGGAGCGCTCTTTTAGGTTGAAATTTTCAGAATATTCTTAGAGTCATTTACCGAGATCTCTTTGTGAATCTAATATGAGCTCAAACGCGGATATCAGCTCATGTGATTCTTTAGTGAAAAGCTCTGTGACAGGGACTTTTGTTGACTACTGAATCTATTTACCTTGTGGAATTGTTTGTGGATAATATCCACCACCCATTAATAATAAACCACCAACTGCAGTTATACCACTAATAGCATTCGTAACACTCATCAATGGACTATGTAATGCTGGTTGTACACCCCATACTGTATGATAACCAACAATACCCGATAAACCAAATGTTGTAATCATATTTGCAAACTGTGGATTTGGTGAAATAATACCTAAACCAAGTAGAGCACCAATACCAGTTGTATATAATAAAGAATCCTTTAAATATTTTGCAAAATAATTTGGTGGTAAAACTTCTGCAGCTGCTTTTTCTGCAATTTTTTCGTCTTTTTTGGATGATTTTGATAGAGGAGTATGAATAGCTGCTGGTTTTGGTGGTGGCCACATCAATTCACCTTCACGTAAAATAAGTGAACCACGTACAACTTCATCATTTAAATCAATATAAAAATGATCTTGACTACCAATGGATAAAAGAAATTTTGATATATTATTTGCATATAAACTTGATGATTGAGTAGCTAAACGTGATGGTAAATCTGTATAACCAATATGTGTCACATTTTTATAAACATATTTCTCTCCTGGACGTGTTGTTTCAATATTACCACCAGCTTCAGCAGCTAAATCAACAACAACTGAACCGGGTTTCATACTTTCAATCATTTCCTTAAAATAATTAATTATATTAAATCAAGAGTATTGCTACTTTTATCTGTAGAATACAAACTTTTGTGATTAATTTTGGAGCCGGTTTGCCTAGAAAATAAATGAATTAGATATGTTTTATGTAACAATAATTTAATACCTGGAATTAAAGCTGTTGTAATAATAATATCAACTTCTTTAGCTTGTTTAGCAAATAAAGCCATTTCTGCTGCAATAAATTCTGGTGACATTTCCTAAATTGTATATTATTACTTGAGTTTTTTTTTTCAAAATAAACTAAAGTAATTCAATCATACTTTAGCATAACCACCTGCTCCTTCACCACTTTCACTTTCCTAGAAGAAAATATATTTCTTGTATTGATTGAGAGAAAAAAAAAGAAATTAATTTTACTTTAAAATTAAGTTCAAGAAATTCTGCACCCATTGATTGAACTTGTTCTTTTACAGTTGGACGTGTATCAAATGCTCGTACAACGGCACCCTAATTAAATAATAATTAAAAACATTTAATATTTTTTTTCGTTCGATATATGTTATAGGCAAATGTGGAATTCTAATTTTGACTATGCAAGATTAGAATCCTAATTTTACGTAGACCACTCATCAGTGAGAACTCAAATTTCAGTTTTATCTGAACAAAATTAGAATTAGTCTAGAGATAAATTCATACAATTAAAATCTGGCAGAATGTGGCCATGAAAAATTACTTTAATTTTTTCAGATTGAAAAAAACCTGTTTATTCATTGTTGTCTTTTTTGATCTGTTCAAATAATAAAGAATATCGATTTGTCTAGAAAAATATAACGTTTTTTTTGTAGAAAATCTTTTTATTTTAATTCATACAACAGATACAAATTAATATTTCAACGTGAAATACCTTCAAGATGATATTATTTGATTTAAAAACTTATTTTTGGAAAAACAGAAAAGATTATGGTCTTATAGATAATTCGATATGCTCTATAGCTTAACGAATGAACTCATTCGACTGATAATCTCCATTTGAGTACCTAGATAGGGCTTATAGTGTAGCTAGAAATCCTGAAAGAGCTCAAGCCATGAAACCTTTCTTCTTGAGTTATAGTCATTTTACGGAAATTTTCAGTTTATTACAAGATATCACGAGAAAAATCGCAGCAAAGGATCTGAACCAAATTGTATCATTGTACTCTATCTTTAGTAAAGCACATGATTGTACGGATTTATCTCTAGTCGAATTCTAGTTTTGCCTACAATATATGTGTATAGTTATTATAAAATAAAAGGACTAACTATAAACATAAGTTTAAACATAGCAAAGTTGTAAGCATTATTTGTCTAACAATACATACTTAGTATGTTCTATCATAACTATAAAATCTAATATCTTAACAATAAGAAAAAACTAAAATAAAACGTCTATAAATACCATATTTCGTGCTGTACCAATTGCACTAAGACCAGCAACACCACCACCAATAACTAAAATTTTTGCTGGTGGAGATTTTCCAGCAGCAGTTATTTGACCTATTTTAAATAGAGTCAAAATAATTTAAATAGCTTTTATTAAATATTCTTAATACCAGTGAAAAATCTGCCAAAATTATTAGCAGCTTCAATAACAGCTTTATAACCAGCAATATTTGCCATTGAACTAAGTGCATCAAATACCTAGTTGTTTTTCATTTGTATTCACAATAAAATATAGAATAATATAAACTTTTTTGTTGTAAAAGACATACTTGTGCTCGAGAAATACGTGGAATACAGTCTAAATAAAGTGACAACATTTTGTGGATTAAAGTAAAATATATTATTAAAAAACTTTACCCATAGCAAAAACAGTTGCATGTCTTTTAGCAAGTTGATCAACTAATGCTTTATGTTGTACTGGATATATAAATGAAATTAATGTTGACTTTTCTTGCAATATACTAATATCCTTTAATAAAATTCATAGAGATAAGAAAAAAAAAATGGTTCTTGGTTGTTTTTTTTTTTTGTTTTTGATTAAACAAACTTCTGAACTTGGTTGTCGAACTTTAAGAATTATATTTGATGCATATGCAGCATTTCGTGAAACAATTTTTGCTCCAGCACTTTGATAATCTTCATTATGAAAAGATGCACCTATACCAGCATTTTCTTCAACATTTAATGTAAATCCTATAAAAGAATTGTTTTATTTTTAGATTGAAGTAAACAAAAAAGAAAATAATATAAATATAAACCTTTTTTATGAAGTGTTGATACAACAGCAGGTGTAAGTGCAACACGTTTTTCATTTAAAAATGTTTCTTTTGGTATACCAATGGAAAGTGATTTATATGGTGCACCTGCTATTGCTTTTTTATTTGAAGTAACAGCATCGACTGCTACTTTATGAGCTAATTCAGTTGTTGTTGGAGTAGGAGCTGATGATGTTGTACGACGACATAACCATGATATATTATTAAAACGTTTGGTTTTGAACAAGACTTGTTGAGCACGTACTACAGACACCATCTTGTTCTGTTAAAAAAAATTAATTATTGGTATGGAAAGAAAAAGAAAGAAAATTATTCTTCATATCAACATGAGCTTCATTTGTAATTAATATTCTTTCGTTGTCGCTTATCTTCACTCATCTCTAGGGCAGTTTTTAAATCCGTATCATTGATATAGATTAGTCCTCTGGCAAAGTCGTCTAGCATGAAGGTACATGCCGAAGTGTCCAATCGATTTTAAATCTGGAATACTGTATTTCTCAGTAGAATGATATGATTTCCATCAGAAACACCACGAAAACTGAGTTTTAGAATTTCAAATTGAAACTTTGCTCAGAGGCTGGCTTCAACGAGAATAGATTTATGTGAAAATTTCAGATTTTCCTACTACACATATTCTGAAATAAGAACATTGGACTTTGCCTTTATATATGAACGGTATGGAGAACATATTATTGTCTTAGCTGTATGTTAGGATAGAACCAATCAAAAGATCTAAAACTCTTACAGAAGACCATTCTCATTAAGATCTGCTTTTGCGCAAAGCTTCGAGTTGAAATGTGAAACTCATTTTTTCTGGTATTTCTGACAAAGATCACATCAGTAATAAGCTGTTAGCCCTAACTCTTTTCGAAATATTCGTAGCTGATTAAAACCTACATGATACACATAATTCCGAGTGAACAACGATTTGATACTTTAAAAAGTTTCTTCATAAGTCTATTTAAATGACAGCAATAGTATTGTACGAGAAGCAGATACTTTCTCACTATGCAAAGTTTTAAAAGAATTTTGAAAAGAAAATAATAAAGTAGAACGATATAATAAATTAATTTCTTTTTAAACAATGATCATCATCATTATATTTTGATCGACTTAGTAGTTCTAGTATAATGACAAGTTGTATTCAACGAAACACCTATATATATATAATGAAGCCGGACAAACTAACGGAATATTCTACAAAAAAAAAGGAATTTATGTCGGTCACTACATCAGAGAAACCTCTAAAAAACACATCTATATTAATGGAAATCGAAATGATAGTTTCAACAGCAAACACTTAAGCACGCAATAAAATGATAGTAAATATGACGTCTAGGGATGCACCAGTCCCAGTTCTGACTGGTGAACTGGGTCCCAGTCGGACTGGGTACTGAGTCCTTTGATATTTAGTCCATTAGTCAAGCAGTACTTTCTTTTCGAGTATATTGCCATAGAGTGATTTTTAGGCTGTTGAAGTAGTGAAATAAGTTATGATACTAAATCCATTGGCTAATCATATATTTCTATATATCAATCGTTATAATTTAGAATACTGTAAATGAATTTCATGTTTTCAGGGTGTGGGTATGGTTAGGGTGTAGATGTGCGTGGGTGGCTTGTGGATGTGAGTGTTGTTTGGATGGATATGGGTGTGGATGTTGTTTGGATGCGGGAATAGTTAGAATGGCAATAACGACACCCATACCAACGTCAAACCAACCTCCAGACCCACACCCTTAGAAAAGAGGGAAGTACCGATAGATTAGCGAAATAAACGTCAAATGACTAAGTACCCAGTCCGACTGGGACCCAGTTACTGGCACTGGTGCATACCTAATGACGTCTATCAAAAAATCTATATATCTATACAAGTGTGGGTATTAGCCTTCTCTTCATTCTTGCTCGCACTCGAACTTATCTCCCACACCCTTTACCATTACTCTTTTTGTTTAACTTAACTGTTCGGTTCTGAACTTTCCTCGAGCTTATCGTTCACTAACCCATATTAATATACGATGGCTATTCATATATAACTTAGTAGAAAAGTGATGCAAAAATTCTTCAAAAATATTAATACTCAAATCAAAATCAACTCTACGAATATGTTAAGTAATCTAGCACAATTTATTCGACTTTTTATTTTCTAATTTACATACCGTTTATTTCCAATAATAGTCACTATACATCATAGAAAAATCTAGAAAAAAAAAAACATTTTATCAATAGTTTTATTCAAAAAATGAGCAATTGATTTTCTTCAATAAAAAAAAGACGTGAAAATAACAATCGGATCTTGTCTTCCCGAACTATCCATATCTAGGTTTGTTTTAACTGCATAAGCCATTATATATATAGATAGAGATGCATATGTATGGGAAAGCTCGCTTTGTGAATGATTAAAATAAAAAAAAAACAGAGAAATAAAGAATAACAAGAAGAATATAAATAGCACTAATACTAAAGAAAAAAAAGATAGAGAAACATCAAACAAAACAACCGTAAATTTTTTTTACTCCTTTTGTCTTTTTTTCTTATTTTCACCATTTTCACTCAATATATTGAGTGAGATTAGTTTTGTTATTTTTTTTTTTTGTTTTGTTTTGTTTTTGTTTTTTTTTCTTTAGACACACATATTGATATGTGTATAAATATATATGTAGATGAATAAATTTTAAGAAAAAAAGAAAAAAACAAAGTAAAAAATAATAATAATCAATTATATTATTGACTACCACGTGATGATTGTCGACGATTATTGCGTGTAGGTATATAACGAAGAGAATTAGAAATATTATTATTGTTGTTCGTTGTTCGAAGATGAGAAAACATATCATCTAAACCAACATTATTAGTACCATTATGTGTCATTAATGAAGGAGGAGATGATATTGGAAACGTACAACTACCATTAGTTAAAAAATTATATGCTGGATTATTATAATAATATTGATAGGCAGCTGCTGCTTGCATTTGCAAAACATATTGTTGCTGTTGTAATTGTTGTTGCTGTTGCTGTTGTTGTTGCTGTTGTTGTTGTTGATGTTGTTGTTGAGTTTGCATTTGTCGTTGATCTTTTGGTACAGCTTTTTTAACATCAACATGATGTTCACCAATTATATGAGGTCGAGTTAAAATAACTTTGTCAACAGAATCAAAGTCTACAAATAAAAATCAACGTTTTTGTAAAAGATTCTAAATAAGTTTTATAATATATAGAAATATAAATCTGTTTGTTTTTTTTCTGGCTTTCTTCTCGTATTTATGGACATATCTTTCATTATGAAACGCCAAGTGTATAATATTCATTATCATAAATATCAATGACTTTTTTAGATTTCAGTCTCAATCATTACAATAGGCATAGAACAAGAATAAAACTAGTTCTAACATCTCTATTTATAGAATAATAAAAGAATAAGGAAAACTAATCTATTACACAAAACTCTTGGAGCAAAATATTCGCTTAGTGTTCATCTACTTAAAAACAGTTAAGTAGAACCAGAAGCAGTCAGTTAAAATGAGACTCCTTCACTCTCTCTAAATATATGTTCAGATTTTTTCGTTTTGGCATGAAACTGAACAACTATCATTATGTTGTTTCAAATTAGTGGTTGTACAGAATACTTTTTTGATTGATTTTCGATTTTCAAAAAGAAGTTTTGATATAGTGACTTTTTTACCTATGGTGATTTTCATAGAAACTAACTCTTTAGTTGTAAACGCATAGATTTATCTCATGATGTATAGAATTCAATACTCTATAGTAATATTGAGTTGAAGCTGTTTCACAACACAAACTAAGACGTACGCCAAAAAAAAGACAGCTATTGTTCTGTGTATTGATGCAATTTGGGACTTCTTTACAAAATTTATTGGTTGATATTTAACCTTATCCCAGAATGGAAATCTAAATATATATTCAATATTGTGTTAAAACTTTCACATTATAGGTTATATGTTAAATAAATAGAATAATCTAGAACTTTTTTGATATCTTACCATCAAATTCAAGAAATGCAAAGCCACGTGTTTTTCCATCTTTATCATGCATAATAAAACAATCATTAACATGACCAAATTTTTCAAAATATTTTCTTAATGCATCTTCATCAAGTCCTTCTCGAATACCACCAATAAAAATTTTTTTAACTGTTAAATGAACTTCATCATTATTGGCTTCTTCACGCGGCACTTAAAATGAAAATAAAATAACAAAACACTTATGTAGAAGAATTTTAAATTTCATACTTGCTCGTTTTGGATCAATTTGACGACCATCAAGTGTATGTGGTCGTTGTTTCATAAATTCATCTATTGTTTGAGGATCAGTAAATGTAACAAAACCAAAACATCTCGATTGACCATTTTGATCTTTCATTACTAATGAATCACTTACTTCACCAAATTTTGTTACATATTCTTTTAATGATTCATCTGTAGTTCTAAAATTGAAAATTTCGTTTGTAATTTATTATTATTATTCTTTTTTTTTGTTTTTGAAAATTTAACTCGATGAAAAAAATTCATTTTACTTATGTTAAACGTTCATTTAATTGTGAAACTGTAAAACTAATGAATAGCTTTGTAATATACAAAGGTCTGTTCATGACACAATCAACATATTTAAAAGACTTAGTAATTAATGCTTTGTTAGATATTTCGTTTTCAATAGGTTCTTTACTATTTCGTTGTTTTCTCGAGCGTTCATATGACAAATTTCAATAGATGAAACAGGTCATTGAAACAGAATCAATATATATATTTTTTAATATAATTTCTAAATTGATGAACATACAATGGGGATAAAATGAATTTTGAACAAAATCATTGCATTCCATACATCTCTAATTTTAATAGTATTAATATAATCAAAAAGAAAGACGTAGTTAGGGCTCCTATTTATGATAATTGTTTGGATGCATACAATCAATTAAGACGCGTCCAGTAGTCAGGAAAACAAAAAACTTGTAGACGAAGCTTAACCCCTGTTTGAAGCCAAATAGGAGTGAAGGTCTGTATCGCTATCATAAGCGTGACCAAAAAAAAAAAAGAAAGTTTTTATAATAGCTTCTCATAACAAGACTAGACGTATAATTCGAATTAGGAAAGACTGTTGTAAAAAACATTTCTTTTCTTTGGTCGTGACCACGATGAAGCTGAATAAATATCTGAAGGAGGCTGAGTTCACTCTAGTTGTCGTTTGACTTTGTCATTAGCATAAAGTGTTTAATCTTTGAATGCTGCGAATCAAAT